CGAGGAACAGTATTAAGAACCGCTGCTTTAGAACATTGATTTTGAAACTTGTGAATCCATTAGAATCGTTAGAAGACAGAATCGCGATTCATATATGAATAGATTTTTACGTGCACCCCTAGTTTTCTTCCTCCTCTCTAAAGCAGCGCAGCATTGCCTCGCCCCCTTTGTTGCATGTTCCTGGGGGCGGAGTTTGTCTGGGTTTGTGATGTCACGAACCTGGGAAGTAACTTGTTGTAGTCCCTACCAGCCATTTTGTAGGCATTAAACTGCCAGAATTTTAAAAGACAATATCTCCGTTTGCATTGAACTTTCAAGCGCAACTTTGTAGCCACAACTTTGTAGATATTGTTAATGCTCAAACAGCAACATTACACACTAACTAACGTTAAAAAAGTTAAATCGCATTCAACCACCCCTTTAAAGGAACCATTTTCTACTATTCATAGCATTTTGTTATCCTTTTGTATCTTGAAGGACACTACTTTTGAACCTTCCCTAAACCTTCACCAAAATCATTTGTATTTTTTTTCATCAGAGCGGGCCAAGTAATGTAAATATATGCAAATGTATGCAGTCATAAGTTAATGAGTTTATGGTGGCTTCTGAATGAGTGTTTTTGCTGTTTTGTTTCTATAAATAATCTGGTTGACTGGGAAGGGAACTTTACTCTGAGTGACAGAGGTAAATGATATTTATTTCCATCAAATGACCCCGCTGAACTACTAAACGATCTAGTTGATTTTTAAATAGTCAGGACAGTCTGTGCTTTCCAGGATCGAGTCCCACCGCCCAGTTTCTGCTATAGACTGAGCGTCCAGCAGGGTCACATAGTTCCATTATCAGGACAGACTGAATCTTCACTGTACCCGACCACCTGTACTTCAGACGCTAAGAGAGATCCTTGAGGTACAGCACTCAAAACAACGTCAAAACAGGCTGATAGCAACCTCTTTTACCAGACATGCTTCAAAAATAAATAACAAAATCGAGGAATTTTGAGATTTTAAGATTTTAAAACTATAGTGCCGCTTGACCGTTTGTGAACCCTTTAGAATTTTCTATATTTCTGCATAAATGTGACACAAAACATAATCAGATTTTCACACAAGTCCTGAAAATAGACAAAGATAACCCAATCAAACAAATGAGACAAAAATATTTTCTTTTTCATTTATTTATTGAGAAAAATGATCCAGTGTTACATATCTGTGCGGTGCAAAAGTATGTGAATCTCTAGGATCAGCAGTTAATTTGAAGGTGAAATTAAGAGTCCATCCGTTCAGAGGTGTTTTCATTCAGTGAAATGACTATCGTAATAATTACAAATGACTTTTTGTGAGTGCAGCTATTATATAATTTTATTTTTTATATATATTTGCAATCAATTTTAAAGATCATTATCCAGTAATATTAATTATTGAAAATGAATTGGTTGAAAGGTGTGGAACAGTGTTTTATTATTATTTATATACCTTTATATTTTGTATTTTGAATGAGCTTCAGTCTTTATATTTTCAGTTTTCATTTTAATTTTAGTTTAGGTTTTAGTAATTTTGTAATGTGGTTTTTTAGTAATTATTTTATTTGTTATATTTATTTTTATTGTTATTATTATTTATATGTGTAATATTTATTTTTATTTCAGTTTTAGTACCTCCGCCTATTTATTTCAGTTATTTTCCAAGGTAATATTTCCAAATTGTAAGTGTTTTTTAAAAATTATTTTTAAGTGTATGTTTTTCTTCTAATATTTATATTTTATTTTATTTCAGCTGTTTTCAATTGATGAAAATGCTGTTTAATAGTTTTAGTTAACAATACCAACACTGGTGTGCAAACCAGTAAAATGATTTACGAATGATTCTTTCTTTCTTTGTTTTTTAGGATGAATCTTCAAGGTGTCGTTGCAGCTTTTGGGCCACTATGGTTCATAAACAATTACTGGTAATGTTTTCGTAACCTATTTTTAACAACAAACGCATAAATCAGATCATAATTTTTCATCATAGCTATCTTTGTAGACCACCTTGGCACGCCTGGTTTAATGAGTGTGAGAAATAGTCCTTAGCTTTGCCTTTAGATTGTCTTCTTAAGAAGCCACCGTAGCTGTTTTCCCAGCACATTTGCCAAGTCTTCATCCCTCAGGGTTGCTTCCAAACTGTACACCTTTGGAAAAGTGTTTGGAAAGCTTTACGCGCTGTTTGACGCAAGCTTCCCTTAAGTGACATCATCCATTGACAATCTGTTGGACTGATCTAGCAAACCCTCAGACTTTGGACTTTGATAACCTGGGATTTATTTGTAGGAGGTTAAGGGTCATGTACACACGCTGGTGTGGATAGTAGATTAACCTTTTTTGTTTTGTTTTGATTTGCTCTGTTTGTTTTGCTATTGACATTGCACATCTGTGAAGGAACAGTCTGTCTGGGAAACTGGCTCTAAAGCATTTTTCCTGGGATAATGACAGATTTATGTCTTTATAAATGAGGCAAAACAAATTAAGTTTTATTTAGCCTTGTGAATTCAAACCGTTGTTTGATAAACACCCATATTTTCCCCAAATTTACATACATATTATTATTATTATTGCAAAATAATAATTCCTTTGCCATTTACCCTTTATCTGAACTGTTTTTTATTCTTTTACATTTTATATCCCAAAATTGGGTCGTAACATAGTGTTACCTAATATATAGATTGTTTTTTCATATTGAAATATTATAATAATTTCTTTCATTCTTGAATTCCTGCACATGAGATATACTAAAACTTTTACACAATTTTACACAATATTTATGTCCACATATTTGAAAAGAGAAAATGTGCATTGTACATCGAAAAGTATATTCCAGTGCTAATCTTAAAATCTCAAGTCAGTTCATAATAATTTATTTAATAAAATTCACTGATTTCCACATGCATCTTTTTTATTGCAGAGCTCAAATGCAGGCAAGAGGGAGATGCTGCTGTTTGTGACAGATCCCAGTCTGCAAATGGAGCTGAACGCAGAGGGGAACAGGAGAACTGTAGCTGTGTGTCTGAGCCCGTCCTGCCTGATCCAGAGCTCAGTAACACAGGCGCTGGAAACCCCGCAGACACAACCCCTTCTGATGTTCAGAGACGCTGTTAGACATATGAACACATCAACTGGTATTGTCTCATTGTCTCATGACTTGCTAATTACTGGTTCAGTCTACCATAATGGTAGTAATTCTGAAGTATTATAATTAACAATGCCTCAGGGTTATTATAGTTAAATGAAACTGAACCAAAAATTAAAACCATTAAAAAACAAATTTTGTTACTTGAAATTAAAATATAAAAAAACGTACAAATTAAATTAAAATGAGAAATGTTGCCTTGGCAACTAGATTAAATTAAGTCTCGTTGCCCAGGCCTTATTTCTATTTTTAATTTAATTGAACTTGATGTAATAAAACGGAAATAAAAATAAATACAAACTATATAACAAAAAAAAACAAAACACAAACATCTACTAGTTTTAATTAAAACGTTAACTAAAATTAAAACAGAAAAAAAAAAAAAACTGATTCAAAATTTTACTAACAACTATAATAATATCTCAATAATACTAAAATAACACTGATTATAAGGTATTATAGGGCATTATGCGGATTAATCTTAAAAACAATGTAAAGAACATGTCTAGGTCACGTTTTACCCTGAAATCAAAAGAGAGAAATAATAAAGTATATTATTTTTTTCATTTTTGGACTGTTAACATTTTTTTTTGCATTGTGACATTATTTTCATGATAATCTCATTACTGTAATGTGAAAATAATGATATTATGTAGTATAAGTTGTAATAAATAATTATATATTTTACATAATAATGTATTTATACGGCATGGTAGTATCTATGTACATAATTAAATTATTTAAATAAATTACAAAATCAATAAATAAGTGAATTTGTGCTTAATTTTAAATAATGTCACAAAATGTTCTTAAAAATATGTATCACTTTTTTTTTTTTTTGGGTGAAAAATGACCTTGACATGTTTTCATGAGATGCAGCCATAAATGCTTTATAATGCATTAAAAAAAAAATTTATTTATTTTTTTAAAGGAAAAGTTTGGCACAACTGAATGGAAGCCATTCAAGCTGAAAGTCTCTGTGGTTGCTTCTTCATGTCTGAACTATTTTGAGATTTAGAGGTTTCCTACATTAATCTTCATGTTGTTATTTCTCAGAGCCATGAGTGTAGAACGTTCCATGACATTAAGCTTCTGCTCCTTTTTCGTAAACCAGCTCAGATATTCTGCTGGGAACAGACAGTGATCCAACTGGAACCAGAGGACCCATCCTTCTCCATTCCGCGGCCCATAATACTAGAACACCTGGATCCAGAAACCCTCCCATACTCTCTCTGCACTGTCACAGGTTGGTATATTCCCCCCAGAGCCTCCCTTGTTTTGAGGAGTTCGTATGATCCAGCCTGACAGAACCAGATCTCGGGTGGGAGGGGGGCCATTGTTTTTTAAATGGACAAAAACAGCATTTTTGGCCATTTAAACAAAACCAGTTGTTTGTTGGCTCAGGCTTTGTTCTTGTGGACCGGTTTGTTATTTGCTCCTTCCTCCTTAAAGATCTTTCTCCCACATGTTGAAGTTGTCTTTTTGCCTGGTGTTGAGATCTAAAAGTCACATTTTGTTACAAAGTGTCCTGCTCATTCTCTTATTATATTATTTTAACTAATGCAAAGTGATGCCATCTCTCTGAATTGTTTCATTCTTTAAATGATCCACAAATATTGACCATCTTCTTAGCAATAATAGTTTTTGAGAGTTATTTCATTGCTTTTTCAAATGTCATCAGTAATACCTATCTAAAAATGTATCATTCAGAAAATGGAAAACACAGTTGTGTGTTATTTGCAACTTGTTTTTTGCCCGAGAGCTGTCCAGTTAGACGGGGTGAGACCATCTGACATGTAAATCAATTAACCACATGCATCATACAGGGGTCGGTTTAAACTAAAATTAAAACAGAAAAAAAAAAAAAACTGATTCAAAATTTTACTAACAACTATAATAATATCTCAATAATACTAAAATAACACTGATTATAAGGTATTATAGGGCATTATGCGGATTAATCTTAAAAACAATGTAAAGAACATGTCTAGGTCACGTTTTACCCTGAAATCAAAAGAGAGAAATAATAAAGTATATTATTTTTTTCATTTTTGGACTGTTAACATTTTTTTTTGCATTGTGACATTATTTTCATGATAATCTCATTACTGTAATGTGAAAATAATGATATTATGTAGTATAAGTTGTAATAAATAATTATATATTTTACATAATAATGTATTTATACGGCATGGTAGTATCTATGTACATAATTAAATTATTTAAATAAATTACAAAATCAATAAATAAGTGAATTTGTGCTTAATTTTAAATAATGTCACAAAATGTTCTTAAAAATATGTATCACTTTTTTTTTTTTTTGGGTGAAAAATGACCTTGACATGTTTTCATGAGATGCAGCCATAAATGCTTTATAATGCATTAAAAAAAAAATTTATTTATTTTTTTAAAGGAAAAGTTTGGCACAACTGAATGGAAGCCATTCAAGCTGAAAGTCTCTGTGGTTGCTTCTTCATGTCTGAACTATTTTGAGATTTAGAGGTTTCCTACATTAATCTTCATGTTGTTATTTCTCAGAGCCATGAGTGTAGAACGTTCCATGACATTAAGCTTCTGCTCCTTTTTCGTAAACCAGCTCAGATATTCTGCTGGGAACAGACAGTGATCCAACTGGAACCAGAGGACCCATCCTTCTCCATTCCGCGGCCCATAATACTAGAACACCTGGATCCAGAAACCCTCCCATACTCTCTCTGCACTGTCACAGGTTGGTATATTCCCCCCAGAGCCTCCCTTGTTTTGAGGAGTTCGTATGATCCAGCCTGACAGAACCAGATCTCGGGTGGGAGGGGGGCCATTGTTTTTTAAATGGACAAAAACAGCATTTTTGGCCATTTAAACAAAACCAGTTGTTTGTTGGCTCAGGCTTTGTTCTTGTGGACCGGTTTGTTATTTGCTCCTTCCTCCTTAAAGATCTTTCTCCCACATGTTGAAGTTGTCTTTTTGCCTGGTGTTGAGATCTAAAAGTCACATTTTGTTACAAAGTGTCCTGCTCATTCTCTTATTATATTATTTTAACTAATGCAAAGTGATGCCATCTCTCTGAATTGTTTCATTCTTTAAATGATCCACAAATATTGACCATCTTCTTAGCAATAATAGTTTTTGAGAGTTATTTCATTGCTTTTTCAAATGTCATCAGTAATACCTATCTAAAAATGTATCATTCAGAAAATGGAAAACACAGTTGTGTGTTATTTGCAACTTGTTTTTTGCCCGAGAGCTGTCCAGTTAGACGGGGTGAGACCATCTGACATGTAAATCAATTAACCACATGCATCATACAGGGGTCGGTTTATCTGCAGTAATATTAATAGAATGGCTTTGCAGTAGCGTTTTGTAGAAAACAGGCTAAAAAAACCCGGCTATATAGAAAACAGAAAAAAATAGCAGAAATTTGTGTAGAGTTAGTAGTCAGAATTTCTCTAAAAAAAAAATTTTTTTTAAATCTCCCTAAAAGTATTGAGTAAATAAACATACTGTCTACTCTTTGGTCTTTGACCAGTGGCAGATGGGAAATTCGTTTAAAAACATTATTTAAAATTATTATAATATATATATTTTTTTTTTTAATTGAATTTTACTAAAATAATTTTCCAAAAATTCTGTTGTGGTATAGTAATGCCATACTTTATCTTTACCAGAAAATCTACCAACAAATTCTCAATGGATAATGAACATTTCAAATAATTTTTAGAGAACTTTGAGTAAATATTGTGTAAAAATGTTTAAATTTGTGTACATTTCATTTGCTCTAATTTCCTCTCATCTTTGCATTTTGACATTATTTTCATGATCATTTTCATTACTCTAATTGGAAAATAATTTGATTAATTATAATAAATCATATTAGTAATTGTTTGAATAATGACTAGTAATAAGTAAATATTTTTATAATATAAGTATATAATTTTAAATCATTAAATTATTTAAATAAATTACACAAAACAAGTCTGCATTTGTACTTGTCATGAAAACAATGTCACAAAATCTTAATGGTCCTAAAAAGATGTATTCTTTTCTTTATCAGGAATAAATAATTTTTTCTTTTAATTCTGTGGTGAAAAATGACCTGCGCATGGTTTTATGAAATTCAGCCATGAATGCTTTATAATGCATTACAGATTGTCTGTTTTAACGAAACGTTCAAAACTACTGAATGAAAATTATTCAAGCTGAAATCCCTGTGGACGACCCAGGGCATGAAGCCATACATTTAGATTCTGTTATGTCATATTTTGTCATCCACGCTGAGGTTTCATGCAGACATTGTTTAGATTGTTCCACGTTCAATTAGAGGATAGAAATGTGATATTTGACACTCCGTGTTATTCTTTGAATCTCTGTGGCCGTTTCACCCTGAAGATAAGACAAATTATCTGATTCAAAAGTGTAACAAGCACAAATTATCTTCTGCAGTGGTCAGCAACTTCAGCTTCTGGCTGAGTGCAGAGGTTCACGCTGGGGTCTTATCACGCTGCCTGCTGTTTGTTATGTAACACAGATGTGTTTGTGTGCTTGTGTTACTGCTTTTATGATGTTATTTGTCAGAAAATGTCCATGCAGAGACTAAATTTAAAGTTCTCAGATGACGTCTGAACAAACAAAGTCATAGATTATGTGTTAATTTATTTCTGTATAAAATTTCATAATTCATTTCACAGTAGTAGGTCAAATCAGAAGGGTAAAAATAACAGTGATGAGCTAATTTACACAGTAAGGAGTAAAAATAGCAGTAATGGGCTTATTCATAACCAGTAAACTGAAACTAGTAAACAAATTGTTAAAGATGACATCCTTAAAAATCAATCTATGGTTCCATGAAGAACCTTTAACATGCATGGAACCCCTGATTCCACAGAAGGTTCCAAAAATGGTTATTTAAAAAAAAAAACTGTTCACTGAAAGGTGAACTAAACATTGTTCTTCTATGGCATTACTGTGAAAAATCCCTTTTGGAACCTTAATTTTTAAGAGTGCAACTGTGTTAGTTACTAATACAATACATAGTTTATCCTGTGATCAACAAGCAAAGTGATTTGAGTCAAGTGTGTCAATTAAAGGATTTTAATGATTTGTTATTTGCGTATGCTAATGTGCAGGTGTGGTTGTAGCAGTGGATGAAAGCACAGCGTTTTCCTGGCCCACCTGCAGCCGCTGCGAGAGCTGTCGTTTAGAGGCTCGAGAACAACAGTAAGTCCAAAGTTCTTCTAAACCAGTTCTAAGTCCACACTGGTGAACTTTAAAGACCAGAAACAATCCTGAGTGAACATCAACCTACAGCATCTGTGATAAGGATGGGCTGACAGATTAACATTAGTTCTAGAGAACTAATGCCTAGACATTATTAAAGCAGCATCACAGCTGCAAAGTCCTACTTGTGTCATCTTTATTGAGTCCCAAATGCTTTCTTTATTAAGAAGCAAGTCAGAAAATTGAGTTTTCCCAAAGTACATTATAGGGGACGTGTTTGTGGCATTTTATTTTGTTCCCAAAGCCACAGAAACAGACTTAAAGGAATAGTTCACCCAAAAATGAACATTTCTTGGAGATTTACTCACCCTCAGGCCATTCAAGAAGATGTAGATGAATTTGTTCCTTCATCAGATTTGGAGAAATGTAGCATTACATCACTTGCTCAGCAATGGATCCTCTGCAGTGAATGGGTGCCGTCAGAATGAGAGTCCAAACAGCTGATAAAAACATCACAATCACACAACTCCAGTCCATCAAATTAATGTCGTGTGAAGTGAAAAGCTGCGAGTTTATAAGAATTACTTGTGGATTATTGTGATGTTTTTATCAGCTGTTTGGTCTCTCATTCTGACGGCACCCATTCACTGCAGAGAAATATGTCAGATTATGGAAGTAAAACACTTGTCAACTTTATCCATTGACATTCCTATAAGTCAAACTGTAGATCATGACGCTAGCAATGCCAAGATTATGGATTTAATTCCCAGCAAATGCATGAAAAAAAGGTATGCCTTGAAAACCAATGCAAGTCCTTTGAATAAAAGCATCTGACAAATAGAATATACAGAATAATGGTGCTGTCCTGGAATGCTAAATGCATGTGTTGGTCTTGTACAGTCCGTAAGGTTTTTGACCCATATGTGTTCAGAGTTAAAGGGATAGTTCACCTTCAATTGCTGGTCCCCATTGACTTCCATAGTATGGAGAAAAAAAAACACTATGCAAGTCAATGGGGACCAGCAACTGAAGGTGAACTATCCCTTTAATGTGTAAGACGCCTCCATTACATTGTGTTTAATCACAACCCACCACATGGCTAAATTGTTTTCACATTCCTGTGTAAGAGCTAAAGCTAAAGTGATGAATCATGGTGCCTTTGAGCCCTCAAACTGAAAATGACTCCACAAACATTTAAAAAAACAGCAATAAAAGTTGCATGTGAGTTGGTTTCTAGGAAAGGATTCGTCTGTTTAGCATGTGGAGCAGTGATGGATGAACCCACCGTAAAGATGCAGCTGGAGGTGTTTCTGAGCTGCTCCTCACTGAGCTACTGTACCATTAAAATCAAGGTGAGGTGCTTTCAGCTGCTGTATGTGGAAACGTTCATTCCCACGGGGGACAAAAACATGTTGTAATCATATGTAAAAAAAAAAAATTTTTTTTTTTAATGAAATGAAGCAGATAATAATTTGCATTAATTTAAATCATGTTAGATTTTCATTACTGTTAAAATAATTTTTTTTATAGAATAAATTAAATGCAATACAGCAAACATTTTTATAATAGATATACTTTACAGTTTAAATAATTTGCATTCATTTAAATATCAGCTTTTGACTAGTTATAGAAAAATCTTTTTTTTTTTAAATAGCATAAATTAAAGACAGTACTAGTATGATATATACATACTTTATCATTTAAATAATGAAGTACTTTTTTTGCACCTAATGAGAATGATATTTTGCACATGATCACATATTTAATGTCATAAAATCATAATAGTAAATTTTATTCATGTAAATATACATATTTTGGGCTGATATATGACATGGACATCTTCATGACAGGTTTCATGACATTCTGCTAATTCTAATTCTTGAAAACAAGCTCTAAGACAGCTGTATCTACATCTCACATGACGTTAAAATGATTATCATAAACACTTGAGAAAGTGAAGCTAGCATGATTTTATCCCTCGTGCAGAAACGAAAATGTTACATTTCCTGGAAATTTCAGCGAAAGCGGAGGGTCACATATTATGGAACTGATTTAACAAGATACCTCTCATACGTTATCAGAAATGAGTTTCACCCACAGAACCTGAATAAAGTTATGAAGTTTGTGACAATTTGGGACTATTGAGTAAATGATGTATGAAAGGGAAAGTTTAGATGTTCTGATCTTAAATGTGAAATTGTCTTTTATTGTTATTTTGACTTGTTTCTTAAGCACAAAATCTCAGTCTTAAGTGTAAATTATTAAGAATTTACTGAATACTAAGCCATTTTTATAATGTGTTTAGTCGATGCAACTATCACCATGTAAAAGAAGCCTTTAACATTATTTTGTCTAATGCTGTCAAGCGAAAATGTCTTAAGATGCTTGATTAGATGAGGTCAGACAGGGTTGATTTCCTGAGGCCTTCAGAGTCTAAATGATTTCCAGGGTTGTCTGTGAGTTAACAAAAAATATTAATGTTTCATAGTTTTTTTTTTCCATATTCCTGCCACATCGTATGAATCAAACTATGATATTAATGCATTCATGTGCATGCGTATGCTAAATGCATGTGTTGGTCTTGTACAGTCCGTAAGGTTTTTGACCCATATGTGTTCAGAGTTAAAGGGATAGTTCACCTTCAATTGCTGGTCCCCATTGACTTCCATAGTATGGAGAAAAAAAAACACTATGCAAGTCAATGGGGACCAGCAACTGAAGGTGAACTATCCCTTTAATGTGTAAGACGCCTCCATTACATTGTGTTTAATCACAACCCACCACATGGCTAAATTGTTTTCACATTCCTGTGTAAGAGCTAAAGCTAAAGTGATGAATCATGGTGCCTTTGAGCCCTCAAACTGAAAATGACTCCACAAACATTTAAAAAAACAGCAATAAAAGTTGCATGTGAGTTGGTTTCTAGGAAAGGATTCGTCTGTTTAGCATGTGGAGCAGTGATGGATGAACCCACCGTAAAGATGCAGCTGGAGGTGTTTCTGAGCTGCTCCTCACTGAGCTACTGTACCATTAAAATCAAGGTGAGGTGCTTTCAGCTGCTGTATGTGGAAACGTTCATTCCCACGGGGGACAAAAACATGTTGTAATCATATGTAAAAAAAAAAAATTTTTTTTTTTAATGAAATGAAGCAGATAATAATTTGCATTAATTTAAATCATGTTAGATTTTCATTACTGTTAAAATAATTTTTTTTATAGAATAAATTAAATGCAATACAGCAAACATTTTTATAATAGATATACTTTACAGTTTAAATAATTTGCATTCATTTAAATATCAGCTTTTGACTAGTTATAGAAAAATCTTTTTTTTTTTAAATAGCATAAATTAAAGACAGTACTAGTATGATATATACATACTTTATCATTTAAATAATGAAGTACTTTTTTTGCACCTAATGAGAATGATATTTTGCACATGATCACATATTTAATGTCATAAAATCATAATAGTAAATTTTATTCATGTAAATATACATATTTTGGGCTGATATATGACATGGACATCTTCATGACAGGTTTCATGACATTCTGCTAATTCTAATTCTTGAAAACAAGCTCTAAGACAGCTGTATCTACATCTCACATGACGTTAAAATGATTATCATAAACACTTGAGAAAGTGAAGCTAGCATGATTTTATCCCTCGTGCAGAAACGAAAATGTTACATTTCCTGGAAATTTCAGCGAAAGCGGAGGGTCACATATTATGGAACTGATTTAACAAGATACCTCTCATACGTTATCAGAAATGAGTTTCACCCACAGAACCTGAATAAAGTTATGAAGTTTGTGACAATTTGGGACTATTGAGTAAATGATGTATGAAAGGGAAAGTTTAGATGTTCTGATCTTAAATGTGAAATTGTCTTTTATTGTTATTTTGACTTGTTTCTTAAGCACAAAATCTCAGTCTTAAGTGTAAATTATTAAGAATTTACTGAATACTAAGCCATTTTTATAATGTGTTTAGTTGATGCAACTATCACCATGTAAAAGAAGCCTTTAACATTATTTTGTCTAATGCTGTCAAGCGAAAATGTCTTAAGATGCTTGATTAGATGAGGTCAGACAGGGTTGATTTCCTGAGGCCTTCAGAGTCTAAATGATTTCCAGGGTTGTCTGTGAGTTAACAAAAAATATTAATGTTTCATAGTTTTTTTTCCATATTCCTGCCACATCGTATGAATCAAATAATGACATTAATGCATTCATGTGCATGCGTTTCAGTTGACCATTAAATCTCTTTTGAACTCGACAAGATGTACTGAGGTACGATTCTGGACTAGCAGTGTGAAAGTGTCGGTCATTTAGAACCATTTCTGTTTTTAATTCACAGTTAATTGTTTGTCAGGGTTACAGTGTGGAAAATGTTCTTGGGTCGGAGATCGGTCCTCTCAGCGTCTTCGTCCACGTTGTCAACAGAAGTCACACTGTTTGGAGGAGTTTGACCTCCACGGTCTAGCACACTTATCTGCTAATTTTATGGTTTAAAAAGAATAATTAGTCAACACTGGTCTTGCCTTATTTCCAAATGTACACTCTAAAAAATGCTGGGTTGTTTCAACCCAACTTTGGGTCAAATATGGACTAACCCAACTTTTGGGTTAAAAATTGAATGTAAAAATTTAACCCAACGGTTGGGTTAGTCCATATTTGACCCAAAGTTGGGTTGAAACAACCCAGCATTTCTTAGAGTGTATGTAAATAAACAAAAAAGTGTAGAGTGCTAGAATAATTCTACCAATGATCATTCTGGAGCCTGTAGTATTTTGAAAACTGTTAAGAAAACCAGAACCATCAACTAATAATAATAATAATATGAAAGATGCTCATGTGATGTCCAGTATCAGCTGATTGATTACATTATGGTGGTGTTGAAGTTTATTTATTTGTACAGTAATTGATTTATTGCTCTCTATGACAGCTGAATACCTACGTTTACTATAAATAAAAGTTTTATGCCACCAAATAACTGATTAAGTCATTTTCATTAAAGATTTCACAAGCATTTTTAAGTGTCTAATAACCAGTATGCAAAATTGATTTTACATAGTTTTATTTCTAATTTGACTCCAGTGACAATAAGTACACAACAATAAAACCAAAAATGTATGCCATTGAATTGATTCTAAATTGTTTGTAAAGTGGTCACATTTATGAATCTATGAAGAGGTCTAACTAAACTAGGATAAAATGCTACTCCTTTTGTATTCACCTGTGAATACCATTGTTGTTTTCTTTCTGAAAAGTTGCTTCAATTCGTTTTAAACTTGAACCTTTAGTTGTGGCCCTTATTGACCAACTTATATTTAAAAGCAAAGCCAGCAGCTTCAGAATTTTCCTTTGAGGTATGGCAGATTAATCTGGCATTTGCAAAAGTGTTTACCATAAACCTTATTTTACTTTACTATTTTTATTTTTAAGTTTTAAGTTTAAAAATCTCTATACTCACAATCCCGTTGAGCTGACTGACAGCTACGCCTTTCAACAGACCACGCCCCCTCAGACCCGCCCCCGAGCACACATGCGCGTTCACATGGATCTTTTTGAAAATTCACGTCGTTTTATTATACATTTGTACACACTGTACAATTTCAAACATGCTCTTGCATTAAAACGAAGTTTTGGGGAATTATAAAACAAGTACCATAAAAACATATGAAGTTTTTTCTGTAATAATTTAGAATACAAAAATATTCACAAAAATAATCATGACACCATGCGGTGCCAAAGTCCATCATCCAATGTGTAACTTAATGCAGGTCTGCTACAGAAGAACATAGTAATTCAAGTTCACTGAGGTATGTTTTTGGCAAGGTTTTTGGGGAGCGCGCTCCCTCTTTCCCCGACGCGCCTCACCGACTGTCAACAGCCGCGCGCGCCGCAGTCCCAAACGAAGTGTCTGGCATGTGTTTGAAGAAGTTTCTGAGGCTGCTGAGCTCTCGCGTCAGCTGATCGATCGTTTTGTGCAGGCGCTCGTTGTCGGCGCTCAGCTCGATCATCTTCTGCTGCATCTCCAGGTTGCGCTGCTTCGCCTTGTCCCTGCTTTTACGCACGGCGACATTGTTCCTTTCGCGCCGCTGCCGATACTCCGGGCTGTGCCTGTCGACTGTCTTTTTGCCCTTTTCCTTTCCCAGCCTCCTCCGGGTGTGGGCTTCTGGCTCAGGTGTGGTGGGAGGTGTCGGCTGGCCCGTGTGCATGAGGCTCACGGACGTCTGCGCGCACGTCTCGATCTGAGATGGTAAGGACGAGGACAGCTCGCTGTCGCTCCAGTCCGTCTCCTTCTTGATCGGTGCGCAAAACGCGCCCTTGCCAGAGCCCCCATCCTGGTGCAGCAGCCTCTCCGAGCTCTTTTGCGCAAAAGCGCCTGTCAGGTAAAAGTCGGGCTTTTCATGCTTCACGGTGTTGTTGAACAAGTCTGCAAAGAGCTCGTCGTTGCAGATCTCCAGAGGAACCGTGGACATGGACTCGATGTAGGCGCTGAAGTCGATGGCGCTCTCATCATCGTAGATGGCAGGCGCGTTGCTGAGCTCCATCATGCTGCTGCTGTTGTTGTTGTCCTCGGACATGCCATGCTCTCCCCCGGATTTGGCATCCCCTGGCATGACTTTATTATCATAGAAGTTGGCAGGCTCCATGGCCCAGCTCATGTGGCATGGTGGCGTTACGCACTGCGAGTCCAGGTTGTACATGTCAGACATGGACGCAGCGAAACTCAAACTCAAACCAGCAGATCCTTTCCTTGTCCCAGTCCACAAAAAGCGTAATTTTTCACGCGCAATCACACCCTGTCTCGCGCACCCAGCGCGTATCTCCGAAAGTCTGGCTGTCTCGCGAACAGGTGTTAAAGTCCTCGTAGCTCTCTATCGAAACTCTGCCGTCCGCCTGCATAAGTACAAGCGCACGGCTTGCGTCACGGCATCACCGCCCCCTTCCAGAAGCCAGTGAATGTCCAGCGTCAGTCACATGTTCCGCCTGCGCTCCTATTTGAGGAGACACGGGTGTGCATGAACGCCTACCAGCAACTTTTAAGAACAGTCTGTCAGAACTTCATGTTGTAGGACATGAGGACATGTTTGAATGCGTATGCGGGTGTGGAAGAACATATTAATGAGAGAAAATTAATTTAGCCTAATGCGCCGTTACCAGCATACAGTACATGCATACTCAAATGAATAAATATGAATAAAAAATAAAATGATTAAATTAATGCGCCATCACCAACCTTCCTAAAAAAATAAATAAAATGAATTCGAATAAATAAATTAAATGTATTTTTTTTGTTTAGTTCGTATTTATTATTATTGTTGTTGTTGTCGTTCGTATTTGTTGTTATTATTATTATTATTATTATACTTTTTTTTTTTGGACATGAGGGCATGTTTGAATGCGTAAAAATTAGAAGAAAGAAGGATCATCGAGAGAAAATTAATATAAATAAATACGACTAAAATATTTTTGGTTCATTATTATTATTATGTTGTTGTTGTTGTTAAGGGTGTTTACTGTATTGTATACTTGGAAATATACTGTACATCCATTTATTCATTTATTTTTTTCACATCCATGTATTTGAGAAGCACATTGAACGTACAAATTCAGTACAAAAAGAATATAAACTGAAACGAGAGTCGAATTAAAGCAAGAAAGTTAGGATATTTGTTAGTTACATTTAATTTAAAAAAATCATTTTGCAGTTATATAAGCAATACAAATTAAAATTTGTTTGATTTCCCTGCCTTAGACTTGTATTAATAAATAATCTTCATTAATGGGGCCAAAAAGTCATTCATAATTTCCTGAGGATGGTACAGTTGTTTTTCTATATGCAGGCATATTTGGGCACTTTCATCTTGTCCACATGGACATCTAGTGGATGTCAGAGGAATTGCCTCTATTTATTCTGTGTTGATGTTCTTTCCCGCGAAAACTTCGGACGATACCAAACAGTTGATGGGATTCGTTTATGTAACCCGTCCTATAATTGTAAGTCTGCCATTAAGAACGTTTGGGGAAAAAAAGTTTATTGTAATTTTAAACATACTTAATTGGGATTGTATCGCGTAATCTAAGAAATAACGAGTTTTATATGATTTAAGCACACACGTGTCTCACTTCCCCCTCTCGACTGATAGTGAGGAGCGTATTGTTGGTTGGTCAAAATTTCCCCGCGAAATTTACGTCACAGACAGTTTCGCGCCACCATTTACATTGGAAGGGAAACAGTGCGCACGGTAAGTGTTGTGTTTCTGTATAAAATCACCGTGTTTGAAAGTAGACGTAATCACGATAACCTAAAAAAAGGTATCGGTCAATTGGACGTTGACCTAATGAGCTTATAATTAAAAATAATAGATATTCTGTATTCTGGGTAAAATACTAAGTTATGTCATTGTTGTGGGTGATGCAGCGTGCTGCTAGTTGACTGTTCGAGTATAAATGTAGCAACTCACTCACAATTCCTTTCTCAAATGTGCTTACTAAATAAATGTGCTACGTAGATTTACGCGTAGTTTAAATATTAATACGTTTTTATACGTGGACAGTTATTATATTCCCTGGGCATCTCATGCAAGCATTAAACTTGTTTCAGTGTCTGTTGCCAAAATGTGTCTTCTTGTTGATTGTTTATTTATTTATTGGGCCATGAGGTGTTTAGCTAGGCATTTGGGTACCAATAAGTGTTTTGTGATGCATTGCCATTTTTCTTAAAAGTTTTACAGTGTTGTGATAAAGACCGTGATTTAATTTCTTTGATTCTTGGGAAAAAATTAGGTCTGCTGTCATAGTATAAAAATAACTTTTATAATATAACAATGCAAGCATTAAACTTGTTTCAGTGTCTGTTGCCAAAATGTGTCTTCTTGTTGATTGTTTATTTATTTATTAGGCCATGAGGTGTTTAGCTAGGCATTTGGGTACCAATAAGTGTTTTGTGATGCATTGCCATTTTTCTTAAAATTTTTAGTGTTGTGATAAAGACCGTGATTTAATTTATTTGATTCTTGGGAAAAAATTAGGTCTGCTGTCATAGTATAAAAATAACTTTTATAATATAACACTTATAATCTTATAATAACTTTTATAATTATGACACGTTATAATAACTTAATCATAAGTTATTATATGTCATAAGTCATTAACATGTTAAATGACATTTTCAGTTTCATATATTTTGAAGTAGTCTGTGTATGAAACATAAACATGCAACTATTTGAGTTTACATGAACTAAATTTAATGTTAGTACAAATTAAAAACTAAGTAATTTAATATTTAACATTAAAATGTAATAATATATAACAATAAATGTAGTAAATATTATTCGTTTGAATGAATTTTGGTTCCAGCTGACTAATTTTGAGATTTAACCTTTCAGTTTTGAGTCGAGATGTCTTCGCCATCATCCCAGAGCCGTAAGAGAGACCCTCCGACCCGTGAGTTGCGTTGACTTTAATGCACACACATACTGGCATGCATGTAGTGTGTTTTCTAATCAGATCCAGACAGGTTTGTCTTTGACAGTAGCTGCATGTGAACGGTTTGTGTGTGTTTGCAGCCGCGAGTGAGGACCCTCTCTCCCCTCCGTCACAGCGGTCGAGAGCTCATGACACGTCCACGGAGCTTCAGCCCATGCCCACGTCTCCAGCCATGGACACAGCTGCTCAGGACGTGTCGCTGTTCTCCAGCCCTATGGCCCCGCGCTCTGGTACAGCTCGTATTCAACATTTTACTTGCTTTGAATTGAATTAAGCAGATTTTTAGAGGTCATTTGATTTGAGAATTCTTCAAGATTTGTTTTATCCAGTCCTGCAGAGCGAGGTCGATGTGAGTTCTCCGCTGATGTATGGCACTCCCAGTTCCAGGGTGGAAGGAACGCCCCGCAGCGGCATACGCGGGACCCCAGCACGTCAGCGGGCCGACCTGGGATCTGTCCGGAAAGCTCCACAGGTCGACATGCATTCGGAGCCAGTGAGTGAAAGTTGTTGTCATTCGCCGTTTCATTTAAAAAAAATTAAATAGTTTAAGAGGTTAGTCTTTTGATTTTTGACTTGCTGGTTGTTTTTAATAAGTCGTTTATTTAGATTTAATATTTACGGTTACTTATAATTGTTAATATTTTACTCCGTTGTGAGTATGGATTATTTTTGGAGTTTGTTCATGTGCATCAGGCATGTGATCAGCTAAGGACAAATAAGAGGGAAAACCTTTTTTTTTGTATTACAATATAATAAATGTAATAATAATTGATTTAAAATAATATTTTTATTTTATTTAAATTATAAAACTATTTTAAAGTAATACATGATTATTGCAATACTATTGTACTGGATAATACTTAAGGTCACAAAATACAGAAATCCATATTATCCATCTTAAATCTATACTATTTTGGCTAAAACTTACTTGACAACTTAAACTGAAATAAATCTGAAATAAAATATATTAGAAATGTTGCATTCAAAACGAACTGAAATAAGTTTGTTGAAACTAAAATTACTAACTGTAAATAAAAAGTAATATTTTGAAAACAAAAACTAAAAATAAATGACAAAAAAAGACAAAACGAAGAACAAAATGACTACAAATTAAATCTTTGGGTTGAGAATTTTTGTTCTTTTTTTGCAGCGTTTCCTGCAGCAATTCACAGACCCCAACTCCAGAGAGGAGGAGAATGCTGGGCTGGATCTGAATGAGCCTCTTTATATGCAGAAACTGGATGAGGTGAGAAGTGCAGTACTGATTAGAAAGGCATAAACAATGATTGCTCAAATATCTTAATATCCAGTTCTTGTGTTATAATATGGCTGTTTTGTGTGTTTCAGATCAGCGTCGTTGGAGAGCCGGTATTGAATGTGAACTGCAGTCATATTCAGACATTTGACGCTGATCTCTACCGTCAGCTGATCTGTTATCCGCAGGTGAGAGAGTAATGAGCCTAGTAATAAAAAATAAGCATCAAAAAGTTCCTACCCATAAAGGTTTGGGATCAATACGACTTTTTGGACAGGAATTAATACTTTTATTCTGCAAAGACACATTAAATGTATAATAAAGTAAAGATGAAAAGACATTTATAATGTTCTTTTGAATTTTCTATTCATCAAAAGTTTTCAACATTGAGCAACAAAGCAGCATATTAGAATGATTTCTGAAGGATCATGTGACACTGAAGACTGGAGTAATGATGCTGAAAATTCAGCTTTGCTTCACAAGAATAAATTGCATTTTAAAATATATTCACATAGAAAACTGTTATTTTAAATTGTGATAATATTTCACAATTTAACTGTTTTTTTTTTAATCAGATAAATGCAGCCTTGTTTAGCTTTTTCTTTCAACAACATAAAAAAACTCTTGTATTGTCACTTTGACCTGTTACTGAAAGTCTTTGACTCTTATCCTCACAGGAAGTCATCCCCACTTTTGATATGGCCGTCAATGAGCTCTTCTTCGATCGTCTCCCAGACTCCGTGTTGGAGCATCAGATTCAAGTGCGTCCCTACAGCGCCCTGAAAACCAGAAACATGCGTGCGCTCAACCCTGAAGGTAAGAGAAGCAGCGCTTAATGATCGCCTGTTTATTGATAAATGTCTGCAGCCGTCACGTGATCGTCTCTGATCTCCTTTCAGATATTGACCAGCTCATCACTATCAGTGGGATGGTGATCCGCACCTCTCAGCTGATCCCTGAGATGCAGGAGGCATTTTTCCGCTGTCAGGTGTGTGCGTTTAACACTCGTGTGGAGGTGGACCGCGGCCGCATCGCTGAACCTGCCGTCTGCCGCAACTGCAACACCACCCACAGCATGGCGCTGGTGCATAACCGCTCCGCCTTCTCTGATAAACAAATGGTCAGTAAATCTATAATCTTTAGTGTATTTGTTCTTTTTTTATATATTTTATTTTATTGAAAATTTTTTTTTTCACATTTGCATTGTCATTTTGGTTAAGAAAGGTTGTTATTCTTGATTGCATTTGTTTACTAGTCCTTTTGACCCTAACAAAGATTGAGGCGTATTATTATTATTATTTTTATATATATTTTGTCCTGACAGATAAAACTGCAGGAATCTCCGGAGGACATGCCTGCGGGTCAGACGCCACACACCACAGTCGTCTATGCACACAATGACCTAGTTGACAAAGTGCAGCCTGGAGACAGAATAAACATCACTGGTACGACCTGTTGTCATTGAAGCTTTGTTATGTGGTTCTATAGAGTGCCTGATCCTATTTGAACTTTCCTCTTTCTTTACTCTGAACAATGTATTGTAGCTTCTTCAACGTTATGGAGCAGACATAGTTTAATAGCTAAACTTTCAGACCCATTACATTAGGATACTTTTCTGTAGAAAAACTGATAAGAACAGCTTATTACATCGTCAAGAAACTTAAAAAATGAAAGTTCAGATTTCCTATAACATTTGTGTTTTTTGTAATAATAAATAATAAAATATTTTAACTTATTAATAATAATAATAAAATAATAGTAATTATTTATATATATATATATGAAATTCTTTTGTTTATTTTTTTTATTTATTGTCTTTTAATTTATTTTTAATTTATTATCATATTATTGTGTAATTTATTATGAATAGTTATTATTCATAGAATATTATATTGTATGATAATATTATATAATATTAACTTATATACATTGTAATGTATACATAATATACATTATTATTGTTAATAATAATGTATAATCATTGTTCATAGCATAGTATAACATATATTAATAAATGTTAGAGTAAAAATGTTAAGTATATTGTGTTATATAATATTCTATCATTTATTAATATTAATAATGTTAGTAGTTGTTGGTGTATGTGTGTGTGTGTATAAGTGTGTAATAATTCTGTATTTAATCATTTATTTTACTTTTTTATATCTAAATATTTTAGCACAAGTGCTAAATTCTAAATTCTAAAATTCAAAAAAATTGAATTTTAAATCTGTTAATTGAAGTTCAAACCGTCCTGTATTATAAGATAACTGGTATTGTGAAAAAACTAACCAGCATGTCTGTTATTCTCATCAGGCATTTACAGAGCTGCCCCCATGCGTCTGAACCCACGACAGAGCCAGGTGAAGTCTGTGTACAAGACCCACATCGACGTCATCCACTTCCGGAAGACGGATGAGAAGCGTCTTCATGGACTGGACGAGGACGGCGAGCAGAAACTCTTCACCAAAGAACGGGTAGCAATGCTCAAAGAACTAGCTGCCAAACCGGACGTCTACGAACGCCTGTCGTCTGCGCTGGCACCCAGCATCTATGAACACGAGGACATCAAGAAAGTGAGTTTCAGCTGGTGCTGCTAAAGACTGCCTCATGTTTTTTTCTTCACTTTATTCAAATATTTATTTTTCCAGGGCATCCTGTTGCAGTTATTTGGCGGAACCCGTAAGGACTTCACTCAGACGGGCCGCGGAAACTTCCGCGCAGAGATCAACATCCTGCTTTGCGGTGATCCGGGCACCAGTAAATCCCAGCTGCTACAGTATGTGTATAACCTGGTTCCTCGTGGTCAGTACACTTCCGGGAAAGGATCCAGCGCTGTGGGTCTCACAGCCTACGTGATGAAGGACCCGGAAACCCGTCAGCTGGTTCTGCAGACAGGAGCGCTCGTGCTCAGCGACAACGGCATCTGCTGCATCGACGAGTTCGATAAGATGAGTGACAACACGCGATCTGTGCTGCATGAGGTCATGGAGCAGCAAACGCTCTCTATTGCTAAGGTGAGGGCGATGCGTGAACGATCGTTTTCATGAGTGAATGATTTTGTCAGGACAGGTAATTAATGCAGTTTTTGTGTGTCTCAGGCTGGGATCATTTGCCAGCTTAATGCTCGGACCTCCGTTCTCGCCGCAGCCAATCCAGTGGAGTCTCAGTGGAATCCCAAAAAGACGACTATAGAAAACATCCAGCTGCCTCACACACTTCTGTCCAGGTAAGAACACATGACACAGTATTTAAAACATACATAACATCCATAATGTGATGTATTTCTGAGAGAAAGCAAGAATGTTTTATCCATCAGGATTACAGTTGATTGTGAAGAGTGAGCTACACTACCGTTCAAAAGTTTGGTTTTAAGAGTTAGTCTAAACTGTAAATAAACGCTTTTATTAAACGTTAACTGAAATAAATGTTAACTCACCAAGCTAGTGGCAACATTTCTCATTTTTATTTAATTCAACTGGATGTAGTAAAATAACAAAAGCTAAAATAAAACTATATAGACATAATTAAAAAAAAGAATAAAAATGACAAACATGCCACAAAATTGCTAAAACCTTAAAATTCAAATGAAAGTAAAAAAATAAAAACATTCAAAATTAAAACTTTTTTTTTTTTAAATACCTCACTGATACCAAAGTAACTCTGGTTGAAAGCAGATGTGCTGCTTAATATTAAAAAATAAAATAAAATTCAGGATTCTTTGATAAAAGTTCAAAAGACCAGCATTTATTTAAAATTTTTGTAAGAGATTTATAAATGTTTTTACTGTCACTTTTGATCAATTAAATCCATCATTGCTACATAAAAGTATTAATTTCTTTAAAAGCTAACGTCCACAAACTTTACTGACCCCAGATTTTTGAATGGTACTGAATTTATGAATATGTTTTTTTTTTGTGTATGTGTGTGTGAGCAATAAAGTCCTCTCAGAAGTGGATAATATATATACATACATACATACTGTTAAATTGATGAATTGAACATAGTAACACTAGAGACTAGGGGTGTAATGGTACACAAATATGACGGTTCGGTACGTACCTCGGTTTTAACGTCATGGTTTGGTATGATTTCGGTACAGCAGGGGGGAAAACTTTTTTTTTTTAAATGGTTTACTGAACAAGTTGCTCTTTCTTTAAATACATTCAGTTATAGTTTAAATGTTCTTAGTGATAAAAATCTACCTCAGCTTATGCTTAAAACTATAGGGAGCCCTTTTACATTATAAGGTTACAATTAGGCCTAACAACTTAACCCAAACTTAAATGTAATTACTATTTATTTTTAAATAGATGATCAACACTCAACTTTAAAAAATAAATAAATAAATAATTGTATGCAAACATGTAAACTGCACATAATGCAGTTTTTAAATTAATTTATAAATAATAAAATTTCTAAGCTATTTGTTAAAATATATTCAATTACACAATGGCTGTCATAGCATGTTTCATAACAGATTAATTTCAACATACTGTACATTAAATAATTAGACTAACAGGTTTAGTAAAATATAATTAATATATGGTGTAATATTTCGCAAAATGCTTCTCTCTATACTTCGTTTCTCTAGTGAACTAACGAGCTGTGGACACTGATGACTTGCTGAGATAAATTAAATGCTACGTGACATTTTATTTCCACGCTGTATTATTGATGTCTTTCCGCGGTTGAAACACTGATTGAGCAATTACATGAGGCATGAGATGTTCAGTCATGTTTATTCGCGTTAAAACTAGTAGTACAGAGGAGGAATGACCGCGTTCACTCGCGCTCCGCTCTGCACAAATCTGCCGGGCGTCACGGCTCAGACACCGGAACCGGAGCTGATCGCGGCCGCTCTAGTCAGTGCTTGTGTTGGGATTATACCAGCACGTTTCTGAACCGTCCCAGAAGCGGCTCTCCAAGGCATTTATGCAGAGATCTGTCATGCCACATCAAAGACTGTCAAAACGCCATTTATTATTTGAATTTCCGGAGGAAAAAAAAAACTGTATTCGTTCGGTTCACATGCGTACCGAACCGAAAGACCCGTACCGAAACGGTTCGGTACGAATACGTGTACCGTTACACCCCTACTAGAGACATTTATGATAGACAGTAAATGGGGTAAATTTTGCCTTTAATGATCTCAAACTGTTTTAAAGCTTAACATCCAAATGCTAAAATACTTAACAACATTTTTTTTTTTAGCTTTTTTTGTAATCTCACCTGTGCATTTCTCTTTTTTTTTTTATTAAACACTAAACTCAAAAATCTCTGGTTCTTAGGTTTGATTTGATCTTCCTGATGCTGGACCCTCAGGATGAGGCGTATGACAGACGTCTCGCGCATCACCTCGTGTCTCTGTATTATCAGAGTGAAGAGCAGATTGAAGAGGAGTATTTGGACATGGCTGTGCTGAAAGACTACATCGCTTTCGCTCGCACGTCTGTGCATCCCAGACTCAGTGAGGAAGCTAGTCAGGCTCTTATAGAGGTATATAAACGATATAGATCAATGTAGCTGTAGTAGTGTAGTATGGCATGTAATTCTTCATTTTGACCCTTGCAGGCCTATGTAGACATGCGTAAGATCGGCAGCGGCAGAGGGATGGTGTCTGCGTACCCCCGTCAGCTGGAGTCTCTCATCAGACTGGCTGAAGCTCACGCTAAAGTACGTTTCTCAAGCAAAGTCGAGTCCATTGACGTGGAGGAAGCCAAGAGACTGCACAGAGAGGCCCTAAAACAGTCCGCAACTGATCCCAGGACAGGATTCGTGGATATCTCCATCCTCACCACAGGTAGGGTTTAGAGATGTAGTAATAAACTGTTAGTACTGGTCAGGTCGAGTCACATGGGCTAAACTCTATTTATAACTATAATAATAAATTATTTATAATAATGAATTATAGTGTAATAATATAAAATTTTATTAGTTACGTTTTTCATTTTGAAAATTACTTCATAATCAAATGATTTTAGTAATTGAGGGCTGTTCCTCAAAATATTAATATAAAAATTATATTTTTAATAGATAAAATAAATTGATAATTTAATTATATAATTATTAAATGATATACCATTATTAAATTATGTAATATAATAATAATTATTATTATTATGTAGATTTATCTATTATTAGCTAGTTTTCATTTTAAAGATTGTTTCGTAATCAAATATTTCTCAAATTACTTTTTAAAATTAAAATATTTTAAATGGATAAAATAGTAATAATAAATTGGTAACGTAGTTATATAAAGTACTATTATTTATTATTTGTTACACTTCCTCAATTTAATTTGACCAATAATCCTTAACTAGTGCCTGTAAATGCCGAATGCAGATTACAGTGGTTTTAATTGGTTTATTCTGTACAGATATGAATGCTTGTGCAGACCGCTACTGTGACTCAATAAAATAACAATTACTATAAAAAGTCAAATATTTTAAATTAATAAAATAGTAATAAATCAATGTAATTAAAGTGTATAAAATATTTATTTTATTATTAGTTACACTTAATTTTCAGTGCTCTTCCTCAGCTTATCCCTTTATTATGCCTTAACTAGTACCTGTGGATGTTGTATGCAAAATGTAGAGAGGCTGATGATTGTTTTTGGACAGGGATGAGTGCTACAGCACGCAAGCGTAAAGAGGAAGTGGCTCAGGCCCTGAAAAAACTCATCCAATCAAAGGGCAAAACACCAGCTATGAAGTACCAGCAGCTGTTTGATGATCTTCGTGGCCAGTCAGAGGCGGTATGTTTTCTTTTTATTATTATTACTTTAATAGTACTAATAACGCATAGATACTCCAGCTATATATTGGTAAGAAATGATGTAAACTGCAAGCCCAAGGAAAATCTTAACATCCATTTTTTTCCTCTCATTTCAGGCCATCACAAAGGACATGTTTGACGAGGCCCTCAGAGCACTTGCTGATGAAGATTATCTGACGGTCACAGGAAAGACTGTTCGGCTTCTGTGAACGCTCGCTGTGCCTGACTGCTGCTCCCTCTTTTGTTACTTGCTTTATCCTATTCTCTGTTTCTATAGAGCAATTATTGTTAATAGTAATATGTATGGACAATTTCTGGTTGCAATAAACGAGTTTTGTTGTTCAAGAGAAGACTTTGGTGGTTTATAGCTGTTATTTACATAATCAGATTTGGAAAGCATCTATTCACTGATCCGAATCAATCACATGGTGCTGGTAAAAACCTTAAAGTATCACTTAAACAAGGTGCAAGAACAACAGTACAAAACCAAGTGGGTCAAATAGATAGAAAAATGACAATGTATTATCACACCGCAACCAGAGCAACTAGAACTTGATGTGTTTTTATAATTACACAATGGAAACAAAATTAACAGAATAGGAGAGGAAATAAAGGAAATAATCTTTACATAATTGTGTAATTTTAGGAATTTTGACAGATAAACTTAGGTAAAAAATACTACAAAATCAAATCCATTGCTTATGCTCTGATGTCTGCTGTTTTCTCACTAAAAAAAAGTCACTTTTTTTTTTTTAAGTATATTACAGAAGGCTAAAAGGTTGAAAAGTGAAATTGAGCACAAAGATTTCTAACTGCATCACCTAAAAACGTTCACGTTTTTGACTGACAACACCATCAAGGTGAACTAGTAAAACGATTTAAAGGCACAATATGTAAGATTTTTTTATTAAAATATCCAAAAACCACTAGAACCGTGTTATATATTTTGCTGACTTGTGTACTTACATTATCCCAAATGTTTCGAAGAATGTTTAAATCCAGAGAAATAAGCAATTTTAACTAGCGACACGGACCGTGTCCATAGTGTCATTGTGTCGCCTGCCAATGACGTCATAACCCCTCGATTTCCGGTTTTGTTTTGTAGAAAACATGGAAACACCAAAGACGCTTTAATATGTTGTGCGTTTTAATAGACCGGTGACGACCGCACAGAGTAGCATTATAACAGAACTTTCACATGTATCTAGTATGATAAAACAGCACTGCTTTTTTTTTCGACTGTGGCATAATAAAAGCTCTGCGGCTTTCGAGCCGTGTGTCACGCTTGTTCAGCGGCCTCGTTTCGCTAGTTATGGTTGATTGCTCTTCGGCTGGATATCAACACACCCATTAACGTAAACTACGCCAGAGCGCGTACACACCTCACGCACCGGATGCCGTGCGCACGCTCAAAGACAGTTGGACATAGTGGTGTATTAGAGGTAAAAAATGATATAAATACTGTTCGGTTTCTGGCACAAACCGATCGTTTCGTGTCTTAGGACATCAATGTGTCGGCACAAGCCGCAGGGTTTGCCCTGGGGGTAAGCAGATAAACATCAAATTTTCATTTTTGGGTGAACTATCCCTTTTATTGTTTACATCAAGACTAGCAATGTGCGCTAGTAAAGTAAATAAAGTCAATTTTGATTTAACGCGGACTTTAACGGAATTCCTTAAATGTGATATTGTAAAAAAAAAAATTCTTGTTTTGTTAGGCTCAAGCGTAATAAATTATATATTAATAATTTTGCAGTGGAGCCACGCCCCTCCCTCTCTTCCTACAGACATTAGTCACATGACGCGTCGACGTCACGCTTTCGTACGCTTTTTGGATTCGGACAGGAGAAGATGGCGGCCTCCTCAGGTTTGTCTCACAATCTGTTCAATTCTCGCGGTCCTCCGCGGCAGTATTTTAACAACAGAAGCGCCAAGCCCGTGCCTCACGGCCCTATATAGATTATCCGAGAGGTTTCCCGTGATCAGACGCCTTAATTTACTTCACTTATCAGATCTGTGTGCAGTTTGAACTGTGTGTGTGTGTTAGCATCGAGCTAACGGCCCTCACATAGACATTTACTTTAAAAATAACATCGTATTTATTTTTTATTATCAGCTAATAAATATTATAGAAACACTTAAGATATAATTATGCTCTTATATAGTAGTAAGGTATAGATTAAATGCTGAATATTGCAGTTGGGCGGGTGCATCGGTGCAAAATGTGAGGCGAGGCGGAGCATTGACGCGCGTGCTGCTGCTGGTTCCGTCCAGTGTCATGACAAACGGGCCTGTAACTGTTGTTTGTCTGTCATAATAGCATCTGAGCAGATTATTACTCCCTCACAGATTCATTTAAACCTCTTAAAGATAATAAATCTTAGGAGAAGTGCGTTCTGATTGTGTAAAATAGATATATAGGTGCATAACAACACTCATTTAAGTATAAAGCCATGTCATAACAGAATAACGTTACATGACGTTTAGAGTTTAAGACGTGTTGATTTATTATACATATACACTCAAGGAGACTTTTAAACCCGTTAGGCTTATAAAATTTTTTTTTAATTCATTGTAATTATTTAATGTTGTATGTAGCTTCATATTACAGCAGTGTAAGATCGTGTATGTTCAGATCAAATGACACTTAAGAGTTTATATATGTAAAGAACAGCATTGTATTTTTAACATGTTAAAACTCATAGATCATAAGATTAGATCTTTACATGTACACAGGCCAATTTGGAAATTTGCACATCTAGAATCAGATATATGTCAATGAAATTTAGGAGTGTGTATGTTTGCATATTATCTTAAATGTTTACATGAGGTCAGATGCATCAGCCGATCTTTCATCAGAAATATATTGAGTTTTTGTTGGTTATATTGGGATTTTGAGGAAGTGAGAAACAATGATAGAGCAACAGGGGTGTCATTTCCGGAATCATTGACAAATGAGTGATCAGCCTTTCCTTTAGAGACTCACCTGAACTTGCGAATCTTGTCCCTCCACTTTTTCAGCAGTGGAGTATCTATGAAAATGCTAGGTGAAACTCAGTGTTGAAATGCACAGATTACTAACGTTTCACATTTGAAACCGCACAGATTTTGTGTTTTAATCTTATAGGTGTCATCCACTTAAATGTGCATATGTTATAATTTTTGTCTTGGTTGAGTATTTAAATTAAATTGTACATTAAATAAGAGGTTTTTCACATTCACAAAAAAGAGAAGCTGGTGTTGGTTTCATATGAAATAATGTTTAAATTAAGCATTAAAATGTACCTCAAATGATAGGTTTTGCACATCCACAAAAAAAAGGAAACGTGTTGGTTTCAAATTAAATAAAATATGCAACTCCCTGAAATGTTTGTGAACATATACAAACTCTGGGATCATTGTGAAATTAGATGTTAATTATTAGGAATCTGTTCAGTTTAATTCTGTTCATTTGCTGTGTTATTATTGTACTAGTATAGTGAACAGAGTTCACATTGGCATGGAAAAACTGGAAAATAAAATTGAGATTTTATAATTGGGATTTCCAGGAAAGAGTCATGGAAATAAATAAAATCTAAAATCTTTCTACAGTGAATATACATTTTTCTAGCTATGCTCTGCTCTTAAATATTTAACATTTAATAACGGGGATTCATTGATCAAATGGTGTGGGAACCCTGAATGAAATTGAACGATGAACACTTTTTACATAAATTTAATAATAAATACATAAGGAAAGGAAAAGTGTATATTTTACGTTTCCCATAAATGTTTTGCCTTTATGTAGTCTTGCGGTGTGACAAATCAATTTTTAAGAGTATAAATAATATTGCATGAAGTCACTCGCTTAATATGAACTCGACTCGGATAAAAATGGCTTGTATAAAAATTATACAAGAGTTGGGACAAATCATTATACTTCATCTAAAACTATTTTAAACATGTCAAATATGAACTAACCAGCTGCAAACAAAGGTTTACAGAGACACCGTTTTTTATTGTTCATGAATTGTCTTTGGATTCTTGCAGGAGTTAAAGTCCCTCGTAATTTTCGTTTGTTGGAAGAGCTTGAGGAAGGACAGAAGGGTGTTGGTGATGGGACGGTGAGCTGGGGTCTGGAGGATGACGAGGATATGACTCTCACACGGTGGACGGGCATGATCATCGGACCTGCACGAGTATGATTGCTGTTTAATCATGTTTAATGTAGCAGTTCAGTGACAACACTGATGACTCATCTGAAGAAAGTATTACATTCTCCAAGTGAAGTGTTTAGAAATCAAGAGGTTTTTTTTTTCTTTTCATTTACATTATTTGATAGCGTGACTGGAAGCCTTGGGCACCAGTAAACAACATGCCATCCAGGCTGACACATGACCGCTGGTGGTGTAGATTAAAGATAAAGATGAATGCTATGAAAGCAGTGCTGCAGCAGAAACATACTTCGGTTATTTACAGTGGGTACGGAAAGTATTCAGACCCCCTTAAATTTTTCACTCTTTGTTATATTGCAGCCATTTGCTAAAATCATTTAAGTAAATTTTATTAATGAGGAAAAAAAATTAACTTAAATGATTTTAGCAAATGGCTGCAATATAACAAAGAGTGAAAAATTTAAGGGGGTCTGAATACTTTCCGTACCCACTGTATGTATTTGTTCCAATTGGCAACCGATTCTGAATTGGTCTGGAAATATGGACCTCTCAGAGGTCTTCAGGATAAATTGTGATTTTGTTTAATTTGCTTAATGGGTAAACTGAAACCTACCATGAAACCTATGTCATATTTCACCCGGAAAATTATTGAAATTTTATTTTGCATAAAGATAATAAAGCCTATTTTTATGACCATTTGCAATGACACAATTGTCATGACAGTTAAGCACTTTCATTATAAATTTAATTTATGCTGTTTGTAATAAAACAAAATTCATTGTGTCCAGGCAGGATGAGAATGAGTTTTTTTCTTCCAAAACTGCAGTCAATTTTAGGTGTAAAAATATACTGAATTGGTATGAAAATAATGTGCAAATAATCTTAATGGTCCTAAAATTTTCGTCATTTTTTGTCATTAATACAATTTCTTATTTTGAATTCAGGGTGAAATATGATTTTTTTTGTGAGATTCTCCATAATAATAGTGCTGTTCTACAGGCGAAATAAGGTAATTGTATCTTTTAGTTTGTTTGTTTGTTTTTTCAGGGCGCTTTTAACTTAGTTTGCGAAACAGAAGTATTTCGGTTTTCTTTTACATCCAAAATATTCAGCTAGCCCGAAATTGCAAGATAATTGTGTATAGATAATATTGGTGAATTCCTTTCTGTAATATTTGTCATTGTTTAAAGATAAAAGTTACAGGGTTTCTGTGGGTCTTAAAGTCTTAATTTACCCTTCTATAAATGAAGGCCTTAAAAAGGTCTTAAACTGGAGCAAAAAGCATATATTCTGAAATGTATAGCATTTAATGTGCATGCACTGCAAAAATACAAATATAATAGAAATGTCTAGATATTCACGATATATCACAAGTCACGATACATTTACTTGAGATGCAAAATAAATGTTTTCTGAGAAATTGAACACAATTAAGTGAGTTTATGCTTAAAACATGAACAAATATCTGTCAGACGAGCATGAAAACTTTTCTGAGCCCACTGGCAGATATTAGTTCTTGTTTTATTTAAACTCATTTCATTTTGATCAGTTTCTCAGAAAATAAGACTTCTTATCTCAAGTCATATTGCTTCTCGAGAAAATGTATTTTGATTAAGAATCTTTAGATATTTGTACTTCAAAAAACAACATACCGAGAGCTGCTGAGGAAGAACATCATATTTTTGCAGGTGCACTTAAAGTTATGGTTATTTCCATATTCTAGTGGTTGGGAACAGCTAGTAGTTTGTAAAATGTAAATGTAAAAATTCCAAGATCTGTTGGAAGATGTATTTTTAAACTTTCTCATTTTGTGCTCCCTAGACAATTGCATTTTGAGAATATATTGATTTATTGTGTTCCCTTCAATTTATTCTGTAAATCTTCTTTACTTGGTCTTAAATCGTCTCAAATTTACCATCATAAAACCTTGAGTTAAGTTTGACACTGTCTGTAGTCTATCATTGTGTGCTGTTATTGAATAGAATACTAAGCATGGAATCAGATTGTGAAGTGCATGCAGACTTCAGCATGTGATTTTTTTTTTTTTTTTGTTCTCTTTGATGAATTGATGTGTTTGTTATCCTCTCACTTTCATGTTCCACTTGGCATTTCGGCATTAACCTTTGACCTTTTCTTCATTTCTCAGACTAATTATTGGATGCACGTAGCATACCAATTCTAGCAAAATGGCAAAACTCATATAGCATTAAAGTCGTTCTTCAAGAGCTAAGGCGTCTTATGATGTCCAAAGAGAATATGAAGCTTCCTCAACCACCGGAAGGACAGACATACAGCAATTAATTGTAAATGATTGTTATGACCCTCTGTCTTAAACCTTACTCTCTTAGAAATGTCTTGTAAATCGTCAGAAAAAGAAAAAAACAAAACAAATTTTGCTCACTCCACACTCAAACAGTCTCCTCTGCGGGAGCACGATTGGACATTTCTAATAGTTTAGCTTGAGAAACAAAGAAAGCAAAACGCTTATATTGTGTGGCACCATGTTCAATTCTGTTTTAAAGTTAAGAGTGCACAAATCTCTCTCTTCCAGTAACATTTACATCGACCACAAGCTTTATGATGATGAACTGAATCCAGCCAGCATAGACGCAGAAAAGAAGGCATGCTAGGTGAGGTTTATACAGATCTGTTCGTTTTAAGTTAAAGTAACAGGACACCAAAACTACAAAAAAAAAAAATAGGATGCATATACAATGGCATGCTTATTAAAAAAATAAGAGGGAAAAAAAAAACGTAAATTGTAAGTTAACTGAACTTTTTTTGTGTGTGTGTACCTGAACCCCTCACTGACAATAACGTTAAGGGTCCTAAAAGTGTGCCTGTAGTCTGCTAGTATCGCAAAAGGGGTGGGAGCGGTTCTGAACTTTCTCTTCTGTTTCGTTTTTAGTTTTTAATGTCTGTATTTGACACAATCGCAGTGTGTTTCAGCGCGTTGTAAACGTATGCTCTGTTCTGTTCTGTTCCGAAATCAAACCGTGCACAAGCATCTGTCGGGTGCATTAAAATATGACTCTCCAACCTGCTGTCAGACTCTTTGTATACGAGTCCATCACACGCCGCAGAAATATGCTGAGATGTTACTGTACGAATAAAACAGCAAACCCTTACCATTCAGGGACGGGATTCGGAGAGTGTCCGACTCGCTGTTTTGCATCATTTGAATGACACAGCCTTATTTTTACAGTGATAGATTCATTTTATACATCAGTCCTACCAGTAAACGCTCACATTGATCTCATATCACTGCAATGTTACTGAACATAAGTGTGTGTTGTTGTGATCCCTAACATTTAAATCGCTCATTACATAAGTTTCTCTGATGCGTTTGAAGATTTTACACACTTCGTAAGGTGACGTACTGTGAAAATCATTTCAAAAGTGAGTTTGAGGTAGGGTGTTTTCAGTAGGAATCACTGATTGTGTCAATGGTAAGGATTTGCTGTAAACTTGCCCTTGCTTAACCACAGTGCTTTATGACTCCACCTGTAACTGCGACAGCATGCTGTTAAGTAGCTTTCATTACGCCACCAACTAGTACTTCAGAAATTATAACATTAGAACCACTGTTATAATCCTTAGGAACTCTAACGAAGTTAATCGTTGAATTAAATTGTAATTCCAGTGAATGGTGGGGGTTTGTTGTGCTGTTCTTCATTTATGCTTCGGTTGGCTATGACCTTTTTATTTTAGTCTTCATTAGCGAAAACTAATAGGCAGTTATTGTGCAAATTAATATGTGGTCTCGACATTTTCAGAGCCACAGATGAATCACCCTGTAATGCACCTAAGAAACTTTTTTTTTTTTCTCCTCCCTGTCTTTATGACCTTTTTGTATCTTTCAACCTGTTAGCGTTCCACTGTACCGCCCGCAGTCCACCGTGTGTTTTTGAGGGTTAACTTCGTGACATACAACTAAAAAAAAAGAGCTAAACATGTCACACATCTTTGGAAAGCTGAGGTTTTTGTGATTCAAAAGACCATTTTAAGAGACAATCCAGCCAGCAGGTACAATCAGTGTCTTTGTCAGACCACCGACAAGGCTTCATGCTGTGATCCCATTGTGTTTTCCAGCTAATAGCTCCCAGCTATAGTCATCTGCAGGCATCTGTTTAAAAAAATGTTGGTGGAATGTTTTTTTTTTTCTTCTTCTCAGTGTGTTCAAAGTTCTCTTACTCAATACCAGTAAGACTTGCACTGATTCTGAGTTTTGTTCTGTTTAGGAACATTCCTCAGAGTGTCACCTTTTGAAAGAGACCAAAAACCATGCACATACTCCAAATGGTTCAAGAACAGCATGCAATTTAATTTGGGTTTGCCTTTTTTAGGTGTTTTAGGCACATTTTACAGGAATGCTAAATGGTTAAGTTTTGGACTTTCATTGGAGGGACAGAAAGCTCTCAGGTTTCATTAAAAATATCTTAACTTGTGTTTTGAAGAGTATATAAAGTCGTATGGGTTTAAATGACATGAGGGCGAGTGAATGATGACAGAATTTTTTTTGGTGTGAATTAACCCTTTAATGCACTTTTTTCTGGTGTTTTTGTGATCAGTTCATAAGTGCATAGAGACACTTTTTATGATCTAATCGTTATGGATAAATTCAAGTGCTAAAGTCCTTCGTATTTTTCTTGTTGAATTGCTCCGTTTAATTGGGAAATGCATCACATTAGTCCTGCTGTCTCGTCCTTGTGGTTTTAGGCCTTTGGTCCATCATTGGACATGACAGAAGAGACCTGTCTGTCAGTGGAAACATTGTGTCTCATCCATTTTATATTCCCTGTCCATTAAACATTGATTTGGTTTCCACTAAGGGGTCTTGTTAGAGTCAAGATGGTCTTTTCTACAGATTTATCTGGAAAATTGTAGAACCTAAGACATTTGAAATACATTTCACATAAATTCTTGTGTGTTGAGAAGCTCAGCCACATCGTAGGTTGTATTTCTTTCTCTTAACTAAAATCACAAGCCTGACAACACACAGCCGTAAAGTATTTGGACACTTTTAAGCCACAGTAAAAATGCCTGAATGTCACTGAATTAGATAAATTGAATGAAAACATTTTATGAAAAGAAGTTATTAAACTTGATAAATGGTTCAAAATGAATACATTTAATGAATTTGGACACTTTCTGGCCGTCTAGAATACAACCACTAAAGATGACCTTGAGACTAGTCGCAAAAGCAAAATGCCTCAAAAAGGGGTAATTCTGAGAAAAGCTTCTGCAGGGTTTGAGCACAGATGTCACTTGCTTTGATATGTTTGCTATATTGCAATGACATTTTCCCCCCAGACGCTTTTAAGCCTTGTTCTGTGCTGGAAATCTTTTTGGAACTGATTGATCATTTGCCTCACTGATCTGAACATAGGCACCTCAGTTTTTGAGTGAAAAAAGCAATATTTATGGATAATTTTGGAAATATTCACTTAGTAACTGAGATGAGCTCAGATCAATGGGCTCTTTGATCATTCAGTTTGGAAAAGCAATACAAAACCCGTGCTAATTGAACGAAAACAAATTGATAAAAAGACTGATTCCAATATTTGGTAGTAATACGGCATAACAAGAAATTTATAAGCAATTTTTGTAGGCTGGATATTTTTTGACCAGGTACGCCACAAGTGTAACAAGGTGGGAAAAAAATCCTAAATAAGTAAAAAAAAACTTGTCAAAATGTTTTTTGGGAAGCTGTTAAAGTAGCTTTAGTCCAATGCGACAACATTAGCATTTTCGAGAAAAAATTTATCTTCTTCAGGCCAAAATGACCGGAACACAACAAGAGGGTTAAATGTGACTTAACGGGATAGTTCACCCAAAAATGAAAATTCTCTCATCTTTTACTCTCCTTCAAGTTGTTCCAAACCTGTATGAGTTTCTTCCTTCTGTTGAACACAAAAAAGACATTTTGAATCATGTTGGGAACCGAACTGTTGACGGTAGCCATTGACTTCCATAGTATGGACAAAATACTATGGAAGTCCATGGCTACCGTCAACTGTTTGGTTACCACCATTCTTCATAATATCTTCTTTTGTGCTGTGTGCCGCTGTGGTTGATGAGGAATGTCTAATGAAGGCTATTATAGATGTTTCAGCATGACCTCAGGATAAAAATGACATCTAGAAAGAGCGTAATGCAATGCCTGAGTGTTCTTTCCCTACGCTTAGATTCTCTTTCAGATGTGAATGTGTTTTGTGAATATGCTGCAGGAAAGCTGCTAGTGCATTTTAATCTTGAGTTTTATTGATCTGTCTGTCAAGATCAACGAAACACGTCTGTGTTCTTTGATCCATTCCTGCATGGACCAAGGTTGAGAAAAACTGTCACATCATACCCTTGCTCAGTGCAAAACCCTGCAGGAATTACAATGATCAAACGCTTTGACTTTTTAAGCATGTCACAAGGAGGCGCTATATGCACAGCCTTGAGGTTCATTCATCTGCTTCTAACTCACAAGGAGCTTCTGTGCATGCAGTATCTTCTGTAATCACTAGAGCACACTGCCATGACTTTGCATCTGCGGTTGCAGCCCAGTGCTGCAGCAATGCATTATTTTTTTCCAAAAAAGACATGCTTTATTGACCTTGCCAAAGGGAAAGCCGACGACAGAGCGGGAACCAGAGCAGTCGCTCTTGGCCATGTTATGGTGTCTTTGTGTCTCAGGCTGTGTATAATTGGAGCATTATCCTCAACACTTGTAAGCGGTTTGTCTCTGTCCAAGAGGACTTTTCATCCTGAATTAACCGCTACTGAGAGAGGAAAAGTCCCTTATTAAAGAAAGAACCTTATGTCTGTCAGATGTTAACTGAATTGCTCTGTCATTAAGCTTGTATGGCAAGTGTGACCAAGAAGTCATGTGCCTGAATAATTCATTTTCATTGGTGCAAGCAGTCTTTTAAGTTAGTGTGACATAATTGCTTTTAAATATAAAAAAGATAACTTCTTGAATACTTTTAGTGACATTTACACTTTACTTTAAAGATTACCATGGTGCATGTCTAAAAACATGGTAATATCTGGTGCTTTTTTTGTAATTGAGTTGCATGTTGTACAATACAAAACAATACATGTTTGACAAATAGAATGCATTGGTACAATCATGTTTTTGGGCATGTGCCATTGCAGTTTTAGCATGTTTTTTTGCTAGTAATGGCATTGGTAAACAGTATTGCATTATAACTGTTGCATTACATTATTGCATTTCAAAAGATAGTTAAAGCACATTCAAATTGTTAGAAATTAAACTTTTTTTCATACATCTTCATATACAGTATATCTTAAAGCACCATAGTAAAATTATAAATCTTAAACTACCATAGTAAAAGTTATTTTTTGTTATGTAATGTATTATTTATATGTATGTGTGTATATATATATATATGTATAATTTTATATAATCTATTAGATTTTTTATTACATTTGATTACTGACATTTGATTATTGACATTGCATTTCATTATCTTAACTTTTCTATGAATATGCATGAACTACATATCTTTTTTAGCATTATATAATGCTTAATGAAAGTCATTATAAAGCGTTGCCAGTGCCAAACTGACAGCAAGCAGACTTGTACAGTATCAAAAGTTTGCTCAGACTTGCTAATATGCATGACTGCTCTTTTCTGAGTGTGAGCACCTCTGGCAGATTGAAATCATGTGTGGTTTTTCTCAACTCCCCCTGTCGCCTGTTCTCACTCCTGACTGATGAGATGCAATTGTAAATATCTGCTGGAGACAGTCTGATGTGTGTTTACTCAATGCTCTGCTGAGCTGCAAAGTAAACCATGACATCAAGACTGTGACATCACAATGTAATCAATATGAAGCTGCAGGCGTGATGCTTGTATTAGAACAATAAAGCAGTGCAGCCTAAAGTTGATAGCGTTGTTAAAATTGATGGAGTAACAAATATTAAATAATGTGTTTGGATAGTGTGGGACAGAACAATGCTTTATAATAGCTTTCATTAGGTCAGAAAAAAAATATATATACATGCATATATAAATGAGTATGTGT